CATCATCATCATCATCATCATCATCATCATCATCATCATCATCATCATCATCACCATCATCACCATCATCACCATCATCATCATCATATCATCATCAGAGCTTCCCCATTTTCGGACCATCATTGGAGCTTGAGATGGTATAAGAATTTTGCGAAAGAAGAGCTCAGCCTACGTTGCGGAAGATGCGGCCATGAAAGGGAGGATGTCAAACATATGTTTGAATGTCCAGGAACAATGTCAATTCAAATGGAGTTATTTGGACGAGTGGAGGTGCCTCTAAGTATATTGACATTGAGCCGAAAAAGAGCCTCGCTCTCGCTCGAAGAATTCTTCATAAAGTCCACCAGGACCATTAAGGAAGCCAAAAAAATCATCATCATCATCATCATCGTCATCATCATCATCATCATCATCATCATCATCATCATCATCATCATCATCATCATAATCATCATCATCATCATCATCATCACCATCATCATCACCCAGACTTCATCATGAAAGACCTGAAGCGTGCCATAACACAAATGAAGAGAAGTTGTGCTCCAGGACCTGATGATAATACCACTTTCTTTTCTAAAAGAGCTTGGTTCACTCGCATTGAAAGAAATGCTCAGCATGTAATCTGTCACTTAATCAAGTAGCGTTCCCACAAGGCTGGCGTATGGCACTTATCATTCCTCTCTTGAAAGCTGGCAAGTCCCAAAGTGATATGATATCCTTTCGACCCATAAGTTTGACATCCTGTGTCAGGAAAGTTGTAAAAAAAGATGCATGCTGAAAGAATTTACTACCTGTCAGAGAAGAATGAATGGATTGCGGATATTCAGGCATGCTTTCGCCAAGGTCATAACTGCACCGACCAGATTATCAGAATCTGTCAAGGAACTGAGGCTGCTTTTCAATAAAAGCCAACATTCCATCTATCAGTCCTAGTCCTACTGGACTACTCCAAGGCATATGTTACGGTTTGGCGTGAAAGACTATTACTGTCAATGGCATAATTCCCCACATCATCTTATGACGAGGAATGCCAGGCAATGATGTCTGATGCACAATGGATTTTTGTTGACAATTGCCACAGTAGAACCAATATGCTGATCTTGACTGACAGTCAGTCCCTTTGCAAGGGACTGCTTGGCAGCAGCTCAGATGTAAATGATTTGTTCTGCAAGTTCAGTGAAACCACAGCCAAAAGAAAGATCCAGTGGATTCCAAGCCATATTGGAATCGAAGGAAATGAGGCAGCAGACCAAACTGCCAATGAAGCCAGAGAGATTGAAGGCGACAGACGACCAATAACGTACAGGGGAGTCTTTCCAATGATCAAGAGGGGAATCGGAGACCTACCCTGCAGAGCCAAGTGCCAGCACTTGGAGGATGTGTATTCTGGTTACTCCAATAAGCAATCACATGTCGCAGGGCCTATGTTGAACTAGCGATACTGCGGTCGGATCATCATTGGAGCTTGAGATGGTATCAGAACTTTGTGAATGAAGAGCTCAACCCACGTTGCTGAAGATGCAGCCAAGAAAAGGAGGATATCAAACATATGTTTGAATGTCCTGGAACAATGGCAATTCGAATCGAGTTATTTGGACGAGCGGAGGTGCCTCTGAGTATAATGACAATGGAGCCGAAAAAGAGCTTCGCTCTCTCTTGCTTGAAGATTTCTTCATGGAGTCCACCAGGCCCATTAAGGAAACAAAAAACATCATCATCATCATCATCATCATCATCATCATCATCATCATCATCATCATCATTGTTTGATAAACTGAGTAGTACGGAGAGTGTTGTTTGAATTTCAGACAAAATAACATAACAATATAAACTGTTTCAAATTTATTTAATAGCTGAAACAGACACAGGAGATTGTACATGCAATTCTCCATTCATTTTTCAACTCAGATGCTCATAAAAGTTTTGTTTAATTTTGGTGTTTCCCCGTTCATCATCATCATCATCACCCGGTGCCGTGAGGCTCCACTTCACTCTGTCCTTCGTTGCAGCAATCTAGCATCTGCGTTTGTTGCCATTTTTTTGTCCAAAAGTTGCCAAAAGTTGCCCCAAAAAGTGGCAAAAGTTGCCTAAAAAGTTGCCATTAATTTTCAAGCTTTCAACTCTCTGTGGCGACGTATAGCAATATGTTGATAGAGGTAACAATCTAAAGCACCAGAATTTCTTGTGCTCTGTTTTAAGCATCCAGAATATCATTTGTAGTCACCCACAGGGTAAAAACGTGAAAAATGAAGATTTCACAATAGAATTAAATCAAAATTAGAACAGCACGGATAAATAACCACAAACATTAACAACTAAGGGCGTGTGTCCACCTATCCGAAGATTGGCTGTTTTAACCCTAAACGCGTTTAATTCTAGAAAAAGTAGGCTTACAGGATATTACATGTAAATTATGGAATCACACACAATTGTGGCGTGCCAGAGTCAGAATTCAGTTTTGGTGGAGACATGCTCTAACATAACACATCATTTATATTTTTAAAAGGGTAAGAACAGCATTAAATTAAATGACATTACGCTGTATAAACTCCCCCCAAAAAAAGAAAAACAAATCATCGGAACATTTTTTTGAAAAATTAACACACCGTACCAACAAATTAAAACACAACAAAGAGGGAAAAATAAAAGACAAACAGCGATATAAATAGTATGTAATGCAATGTACTTATATTCTCCGCCTGAAAATAGATACACATGGACATCTTAAAACTTACCAAAAATACATGTCTAATATGTTATTGTTGTTTAGTCTTTTTTGAAAAATGCAAAAATCGCGGACGCGATTCGCGGACCCAAAATTGCCGAAGATCGCGGCCGCGACAAACGCAGATGCTAGAGCAATGGTGTCTGTTGTTCTTGCTGCTCCCGGCCATGTTGTCATCTTGTCCAGTATGTTTTCCCTCTGTCTGCCTCTGCCTCTCTTTCCATCAAACTTACCTGTAGTCACAATATTCTCCAATGCTTCTTTCCGCATTGCGTGTCTGAACAAATTTGTCTGTCGCTTTCGTATTCGTCATAAGCTGTCTTCTGTAATTTACTTCAACCAGGACTTCTTCATTTGTTTTTCTAGCTGTCCATGGGATACGCAGCATGCGTCTTATGAACCACAACTTCAGGTTTTCCAGATAAGTTTGTCTGGGTCTACCCCTGCCTTGTTTGTCGTCCTTTTTTCCATGAGATCAGGCTATTTAAATAAAGCCTTTGCGTAGAGTCAAATGTCTTAGTTTAACGGCGCTAGTCCTTCAGAATTGTTCTTTTAATGAGCGGTCCGCGTCAGTTTCTTTATTCGGAACATGCACTTCCTTTTCTGTCCACGAAATTATCAAGTCTCCTAAGAAACCACATTATATTTCTTTTGCTTCTATTTTATTTTCTCAATTGTTGGTATAATTAAATTGCCCCGTTTTCACTGTGCCGTGTTGAAGGGTTGACCATACATAGCCTTTTAGAAGATTAATTTTAGTATTCATATTGAGATGTTTCTATATTTCAGGCCTGATTTAATTTTTATTTAACCTATTTAGCCGCCGTTGTTATTCCTCATTCGATTTCAGTGGAACATTTGGCATCGGATGTTATGATAGCCTGTATCTAAGGTATTTAAACTGTTGGACTTATTTAATCTTTTCAAATTTACTTATGAGATTATGGGCCTCACTAAATAACTTGGGTTTATTTCATTCAATAACATCATAATAGAGCTATGATATAAGGCCTTATAGTTCCTTTTTCTGGGGCCTTAGTTTAACTCCCAGAACAGCACCCCATGATGTATACTGAGACAATGAAATCTTGTATTAAATTAGCTGACACATCTACTTCACATTAGGTTTTCACTTACAGTGACAAGCTGTTTCTCCATATAAATTGCACCACATCTCAATTTCCATCTTAATTATGTTGAGGTTCTCGTGGTCTAGGCTTGAGGTTACGGTGTTCGCTTTTCATTAATTCAAGGTCCTGAATTCACAACCTGACAGCGACAGGAAACTTTCTTTCACCAATCATCTGCTTTCGTCTCCACTACATTCTCCCCCCCCCCCCCCCCAAGACCCGCCGTTCTTGAGCTCGGGTCGTTTTATTGAGTTCGTTTTCCTGCTCTCTAGCAATCTTCCGTTGCCTGCTTTCGTCTCCTCTTTCTGCCCCAATCACCTCACCCCCCCCGGCCCCTTCTCTGGGCTCCCCACTCTTTCTGTAGCCGTAATCTACTGCTACTCACTCCTTCAATTACTTACTGCCGTCTTTCAGCAAAAGCCCTCTTAAGAAAGATCTAACACCCAATACCTTCTCGGAAACGGCGAAAAATCTTGGAGGCCCTGCGTGTGCAACTTGCGCATGTTAAAGATCCCTTGGTGGTTCTAAAATTGATAAGAATGTAGGCTTTATAGGCAAGATGAAAATCCCTAAAGCTCATAAATTTTGAACTTATGCAGTTGCGAGCGCTGTAAAGCACTTAGATCTACACACACAAAAATCCATCTTCAAAGCCAATAACGTCCGAAAAGATACTACTAACTTTTTTTTTTTACAACTGTAAGAGCTAGATCTATTGTATAAATTCATATAAGGGAATTAAACTGTCGAAATTCTTGCAAGTTTTCCGGATTAATCAATTAGATCTAGTTTTACTCTATTTTTATGTTTTGTGTTTCTAACCCATGATGTCACTCAGAAATTGATCATAATACTTTCTAATCTATATCACCAGTTTAACATCCTAGGCTAATGCAAGAAAAATGTGTATCTATCTGGGTAAAAATTTGAAACAATTATAAAATCTGGGACATGCAACTTGCCCTTTTTTTAAAATCTGGAATATCACTCATGCTCTCCCTTGAACACTTCCTCTTCCTTGATTGTGGCTTCTACTAGCCCTACCCTACCTTCTAGTTCTAGGCTACCGGTCGACCGCCGTTCAGAAAGCGTCAGCTTCCAATTCGTAAAATCAAAACCTTGCTTCTTGTCATAATGGGAGTTACTGTTGAAACAATCCAGGCTGGAGATGGTAATTATTTACTTTAAATGTTACCATTAATTTGCCTCCTTTCTCCTTTATTTAAAATTTGGAATTTCCATCCGCTATTGCCTCGATTTGTCAGCGCAACCATAGTGACAAGCCAAAATGGCAGCGTTCTGTCTAGATTTGGGTCACGTTGCCGGCACATCGAAGTTTAATGTTACTGAAGTTGAAGCTCTTCGTTTGAGAATGATGCTGTGCAGAATTATTGGCTGCAATTTTGACTTTCTTCTTAGTCGTTCTAGATTTCTATAAGATTCAATTTCATGTCCTTGTACTAAAATTCTAGATTCTAGAATATCCCTGTCTCTATTTTATTATAGAATCTAGATTCTAGTTTGGGTTTGTGTATTTAGTAATTCAACTGTCAGCACCAGGTGAAGGTGGAGTACAGTATTATAACGAGTCCTGAAATAACGAGAAATCTGTTATAAAGACACTATTCTAAAACCCTGTTTTTTCCCCTTCTTTATCTTTGTAAATAAAATACACTGCTATTGCGCAAGGCAATCAGACAGTCACCCGAGTCGTACCGGCAACGGAATATTGCTGCTGCTGTACACAGCGCACAGACCAGTTAAACATTTATGCAGAGTGTCTACATACACGGTAACCGGGCACCTAGCCTCAGTGTGTACGTACACGGTAACAGGCAACCGGGCACGTAGTCTCGGTGTCACGTACACACAGTAGCCAGGCAGTCCAGAACTCCAAGTTCATCCGGTGTTGCCTTCATCCCCACCCCTCCCCCGACTGTACCTTAAAAAAAAAGGGAGTGTATACAGACCCGGTAACTGGGAACGAAGTCACAAAGTATACAGACCTGGTAGGGGAACTCTTTTGTGATTTCGGAGAGTTTCTGCGCCCTCTACTCTTGGCTCAGGGTAGACCTAGGTTCTTCTAGATCTGTGGTCTAGATCTAGATCTAGATCTAAATTCTAGATCTAGGCAGACAGACAAATCTTTGCATCTAGTTTCGCGGCTAGATCTCTAGATCTAAATGAAGATTGCGGATGTCTTTTCGATGAACGATCGTTTTTCCTCCGTTTTGGGGTTGGAGGAATGGCAAGACGCAATTTGAAGAAAAGAACAATGTCATAATTTCAGTCGAGCAGTCACCCTCTCTCTCTCTCACACACACACACTAGATTTCTACCGGGTCTGGGCGCTGAAACTTCCCGAAATCACAAAAGAGTTCCCCTACCGGGTCTGTATACTTCGTGACTTCGTACCCAGTTACCGGGTCTGTATACACTTCGATAAGAAAAAATCTCTATACTTCGCAGCGCACAGGCTTTGAATGAACTTTGGTGACTCCAACCGGTACTCACAGTGTGATGCGCCCGCACAGGTTCACTGACCGGTCATCATGGCGAGCCCGACAAGACGCTTGTGTTGTATCATGACTTTCTTTATTTTCAGCAAGTGACAACACATGACAAATTTTTATTTATTTTCATTACGGTTACCGTGTACGTAGATACTGAGACTAGGTGCCCGGTTACCATGTACGTAGATACTGAGACCAGGTGAAACTAGGTGCCCGGTTACCGTGTACGTAGATACTGAGACTAGGTGCCCGGTTTCCATGTATGTAGACACTCTGTAAACATAATTTTATAAAACCTTGCCTGTTGGGAATGTTGTTAGTCATCCTGGGAAACAAAGAATGGGAGAGCCCTCGCAAACCTACAATGAAGGCCGGAGCGAATGAGTAGGGAGGGTGTGGCATGGGCAAACAAGCCAAACGCATCGCGTGATAGGCCAGCCCAGTCTAGATTATCTAGGCCTACCATGCCTCTCACTTTTGTGGTGGGGATGGAGAAGTCATAATGCTGTGAAATAGATGGGGTGAATGTGTGACGTGCGCAACAGACACAACCTACCACAGGGTGTGGTGGGGGACAACTCATCAGTGGGTGAGTTAGCTTAGACTAGAGCCAGAGCCACTTCTTTCTGATCGCCAACGTCGAGTTGTCAACATTGCTAGTGCTAGAGAAATAAACCTGATTCGATTTTTGATTAAGTAAGACCTAGGGATCATGTTGAACAAAATCATCATCAGGGGAAATATATATACGTAACATTACGTGTGTTACATCAAAAGTTACGTGTGTTTACATTCATACAAAACATGCAAATCTTCAAAAGTAATGATAGAAATAGGCAAAGAAAAGCAAATTACCATACTGAAACATATATCACAATGGGACAAATTGATGTTTGAAGCTTAAATTTTAACTGACCAGGGGACAAAATGGGTTTTGGTGTGGTGATCTCCTTTATAATGACATTTTATGATTCAATTGCTCAGTAAATTTCATCTCTCATTACAAGCCACTTCCATTTTCCTGTAAAATGTGACATGACATTCACCATAACCCTTTTGTCCCCTTTCCTGTCACTTCTCCATGGTATTTTTTCTCATCACATCTCACAAGCACCGAATCCCCAATACTGACCTCAGTCATCACTTTGAGATGGATCACTTGCATTCTTAAACCCCTTTAAGAAGTACACATTGTAGGCTACTGGACATCTTTTCTGTCGTGTGAATGCATGGTAACTTCTCTGCAAGGTTCCCAAATCATTCAGTACACTTTCTTGACTCCAGAAACTTCTATATTATCTCTATATTTTGCCAGGGGTCCTCATATTGTGTCAATCTCATGGTGTGAGAAGTATTTGGCATGAGCTGCAGATCTACATTTCCATCATGAATGTCTTCTTCATATCTGCACTGATATTCATATGTATGTAACAACACCACCAAAAATTGACATTTTCTTTGATGCTGATCCAAGGAAAGAAAAGGGTGCTTCATTCACAGCCTTTGACAAAAAGCCTGCTTGTTCTTGTATCCTTCTCTGGCTAGTGTTTCAGCTTCAGCGTGGTTGGTGTTGGCGCTACGTTCCTTCCTCAGCCGATGCTTTGTAACCATTCAGGACATACCTTCTGTATTCCTTCCTGTCAGATTCTATCAATCATTCCAACATTTTTAAATTATTCTCTCCTCTCTTCTACTTTCTTTGGCTGTGTAAGATGGGTCATCTGTTGTGTCATCTTTGCACGCTGCTTTTTTAGTCTTTTGGGTGGACGAATAGCTGAGGAAGGAAATGAAAACAATAAGGTGAATTTGACGGGGAATAAGGCTAAATATGTCTAACTGGTTTTTTTAATATGTGAATTTTACTTTCAAACTGCATTTAATCTTGTTGTTCTGGCATGATTTTGAAATCCACCAGTGTAGTACTAGTAGCACAGTATGCCCAATGTTCTGAGGTACTTACAGAAATATTTGTTAAATTGTTTTGTTTGTTTTCCCGAACTATACACCAGTATTGGCAAGAGGTCGCTAATAAATATTTAAATTTAAGTCTTTAATGAGATGATCTTTGAATACCAATGCACAAGTTAATCAACTTTGATTGATATCAATGTCGGTTACAGAAAATTATAGTATGAAATATACAATGAAACACAAAAATTGAATTAATGTAAAATATTTACCTTTTTGCCACAGCTTGAGGTATCACCAATACTTGTTTCCTTGTCAGTCACACTGCTTTTGCAAAAAGTGACCAAATATTTTTTTAAATTTGACCCTACATGCCAACTGAAATTTCTGATTTGAAGATGTAACACACGAAACAAAACAAAATGTAACTCACGTAACGTTTACTTTTGAGTATATTGCATGAAGTTTCATTCTTTTTTCTTTCTAAAGCTAGGAAAATGCTCAGCATCCATTTACAAAGAGTGTATAAAAAATTGTCTTGACTCAGCCCGTTAACTTTGAAGAAATTTGGGACAGTCTGCAGAAAAGTAGAATGAAGCATTTTCTTCACGTAACACACGTAACGGCCACTTCATCATCATGTCAATCATGAAGTTACTTATGACTTGTAAAGGTACAACAGTTCAAACTGACTTTATGTCTTTCTCAAGGAACAATACTTTTATTCCTGACACCCGTGGTCATGTCACTAAGCTCTTTGAAAGACGTGAAAGTAGAGCTCAGATGTAACACACGTAACATGGAATGGGCCAGCTCTATATGTAAAATACTCTTTAAGCACAAGAAAATCTACCTGGCCGGTTAGAGCAAAATCACGAAAAATTGTGCTTGCTCAAATCAGCCACCCCACTATGGGGTTAAAATGAAAGGGTAACACCGCCCAGTGATTCGTAGGGTCCTCTGACATGTCTGTTCTGACTTTTGAACTCTCAGTTGACCCTGAAGCTATCGTAACAAAAGCCCTGCCGCCCTAGCAAACGACTTCCTTTCACTAACTGTAACCCACAAGCCTAGGGGAGGGACTTCTGTTTTGGGAGATTCTTAGCCGAAAGTTGCCACTTGCTGACCAAAACAAAAGATGGGGACACCCTCATGGAAGGGAAGTACCTTTCTAGACGACTTTGGCAGGAGTTAAAAATTATCCAATGATACAAAGATTATAAACGAAGCGAGAATAGACATCAGTGCCGGTCATGGCCATTTTAAGCAGGCGGCCCGTTTGACCTCAATTAGATCTAGATCTATCTATCTTTATGCAGAATCTCCTTGCTCTTCCCTGAACCCTGGTCCCGCGGGTGCCGGGTATATGTTCCACAGAAAATCTTATTGTTTCGGCACCTCGCCTTCTGCCTAGTCCCATGTCCCATATTCAGTCCGCCCCTTGCTCAACGCACGCGCATCGAGCATCATCCCTGTGATCACCGTTTCAAAATTTCTCGTCCATGGCTATAATGAAATACAGTGAAAAATGTGGGTTGGCACTGATATCTCATTCTAACTTTACATTTTTTTTCCAGGAGTCAACTTTGCCAAGGCAGGTGACACTGTTGTTGTCCATTATACAGGTGAGTGTTTGCATTAGTTTAACTGAGGCTTTGAGAATCTCAAACTAATTGGAAATGGAACAGAGTGAAGAGTGCTTGTTTTGCCCCTTTATAGTTCTTATTTGGAATTATATTAAAAGAACTGATCTGAAACTATACCGTTTTATGTTGAAATATAATAATAGTGCAAGCTTCTAAAGAGGAAAGTTTTTAGTGTGCTTCAAATGAGTTTGTTTCCTTTCATGTTATGTAAAATTTTGTTCTGCTTTTTGTTGTTGTACAACTGGGTGTTAATGACAGTTCTGGTAGGGATTTTAAAAAATGTTTGTTCTCTCCATACTTTGTGGGGGGGGGGGTTAAGATAAAGACTGTTTTTATTTATAATTTTTTGTCAGATCATGTTGATTGAGTCAATTATAGTCATAATATAACTCAAACTCGCCCGAGGTATGATAATGTTAATGTTGCCTGTGGTAATTATGGCAAGGTAGATGGTCAATCTCATTGTTGTTGTATATGGATTCATTAAGAATATCTGCCGGCAACTTTGTAGTCATGTTCTCCCAGTGGACAGGTAAACAAAAAAAAGGAAAAATTTTGGGGTCCTGAATTGTCCTGTCTAGACAATGAAATGCGATTCAACTTCAACCAAGAAATGGCATTGAGTTTCAACAAATGTAATGTCTTTTACAGTGATTCTGGGGGTATCAATTGTCAGGTATTTGTTAAACTATAGGTTCAGGGTTTTTCAAGTCTGTGTGACCAGAGCTGGCCGACAGGCGGAGACTCAGACTGGCCACCAGGCACTGCGGAAATGTAGCACCACTAGTTCAGTTTCAACAAAATTTGAATTGTGATGCTAAAGAGACAATTTAAAAATACGCTTAAATTGGTTTAGTAAAGTTTAGTTGCATTATTGGTCATTTGACTTTTTTTCTTTTTTTTTTTGACATCATCATGTATTCTTAATTTTTTTTATTGTCATATATATATATGATGATAAAGGAACACAATTCGTCCAATGCTCATTTCTTGAAAGGAATAACAACTTTCGCACTCTGGACCAGAGCGGGCGGGGGCAATAGTTACCTTTTTGCGCACAGACCATATGTGTGAATCTAACTAATTGATTAAAAGGTGCTCCTGTACGTGGATCCTGCAGACTTTGAGAATGAAGGCTCAAAGTTAGAGGGTTAAAAGGGCTTGCGGATTCTCATTTTCTCGTTTTGTTTTCGCCACTTTCTTTTCAGTGCCAGGTCTCTGAACTGTTTTATGCTCTTTTTGTAGTGATGAACTTGTCCTATCTGTTTGTCAGGCACCCTTCAGAATGGACAGAAGTTTGATTCTTCTCGTGACCGAGGCAAGCCATTCCAGACTAAAATTGGAGTTGGGCAAGTCATCAGAGGTGAGTTTTAAAAGTTTCTTTATCACATGGAACAGAGAGGGTTTGTCTCCTTCTACAGAAAAGGGGCTTTCGTGGTCTAGAGGTTACATATTCGCCTCTCATTCAAAAGGTCCTGAGTTCGAAACACGACAGTGACGGAAAATTTGTTCTTCTCTAAAATTTTCTGCTTTCCTGCTCTCTAACCATGTTCTTTTGTCTGCTTTTGTCTCCACTTTCAAT